CGCCCGGCCCCGGGCGCCCCGGAGGTAGAGGAGCGGAGCGGAGCCGGCGGCTGCTCGCGGCGGCGCCGGAGGAGGCTGCGAGGGGAAGACGGGAAGGTCCTTCACCTGGCCACGGGCTGCCTTCTCCCGGCCCGCCTCGGTGCGGTGCTGCTGCGGGCCTTCCTGGCGGCCGCTGAGGCGCCTCGCCGGGGGCCCGGGCCGCCTCAGGCAGCGGCTGCACGAACCGGGAGGCGCGTGGGAATCATACGGTTGCAGGATCAGCGTGACAAGTCGCCTGAACCCGCCTCGCCGGTAGCGTCACCCTTCGGACCGGGCGCTGGCATCCCAGCTTTCCTTATTTTCCCGGTGCCCTTCCCCCCGGCCCAGCGGAACTTCCACACCCGGCCCTTCACGGCAGGTGAAGCCGTAGATCGCGACTGCCCAGGGCGCCGAGGAAGCGCTGAAAACTCAAGATGAGTGACTTGTAAAAGCCAAAGGCTTTATTCCCCCCGCCCCCCCCCCCCCCCGCCTTCAGGTCTTTGCAAACGGGAAATAATGCTTCATACGCTTAAAAAAAAAAAAAAAAAGTTACGTTGTCCGGTAAATTAACCTCTTGTGTGCCCGGTTGTGAGCCACTCGGTGTCACTGATGACTTCTGAAAGTGGGCAGTTCAGTGTCCCTTCCTGACACTTGCTGATCTGTAACAACCCAGAAGTAACATTTCCTTCTTCATGAAGTTCCTCAAAGAAAGAAAGGAAACTGCTAAGAATCCCGAGGTCAAATCTTTATACTGACAGTTTAAAAAACTTACAAAGAAGCAGCAGCCCTTTAGTGAAGGCTGGTAAATTGACATCCAGTTCAAATCTCATTTCTGCTAGTAATAGCTAACGATAAAGGCACAATCCCTAATACAAATACGCAAGGTTCATCTCCCAGTAACAGCGTGTAAACATGGAGTTACCCGTTCCAATTCTTAATCAGTGAAAAAGCAAGACTTCAGATCCTTTAAATTGTACACACTTTTATTCGTCTTGCCTTACAAAATACATACACCTGGCTACAGGATTTGCAACTACTGTCTTACACACCATAATTTATTCCACTCACAAAGACAGGAACAAAGATATCCAAGACTTTTCTACTGCCTAGGAAGTAGCACCGCATTCTACTGCCGGTGACAGTCAGCAACTCTTCCTTAGGGCTGATTCACCTGAATTTTTTACAGTTACCGTTTGTCACTCCTTTAACTCAAGACAGCGTTACAGTGTTAGAAAGGTAAGTTCTGCTTATCACGCATGCAACAGTCCACAGATGATCTGCACAAGAACATACACATCTATACCTTCCGGACACAGAACAAAGCTGCAAGCCTCTGCAAGTCAGCAGGAGCCACACAGGTTAGTAGTAGGGGACGACTTCCACGTAGCTGTGTCAGATGGGAGATACCTGGTTAAATGCATGGTGTCTAGCTAACTAGCATCAGCCAATTTCTACCCATTAAATCAGGAAAGCCAACAAGAGTTTTGGTGAAGTTAATTCAAGTTTAAAGTGGTATAACATTCTTTAGTCCATTACCATATAATTTATGCATAAATGCTTCATTACATTTTCTTAAGTCCCCTTCCCACAGTATTAACATGAATGGATAGGAGTAATTAAAGCACATGATCAGTTGTCCTTTGATTTTATTATTCACTTGGTCTTCCTCCAGCAAATAATTCAACACTAATTATGCTTCCCAGGACTTGTAAACCTATGGGTTACAATTGGAACATACACATGTATTTGGAAGGAGATTCCCCCATCTCCTACCTTAACAGGTTTCTCCAGTCACCTAGCATGAATGAGAAGAATGCAGATATTCAGCTTGCAGGAATTTAGCAGCACATTGGCAACCAGTAGGAACAGTCTCACTCATTCCTTAACGAGTCACATTGGACGAAGATTTAAGAGAGAAAACTTTGAACAGCAAACTGTACAGCTACAAGTTTTCTGTGAAGTTCTATTAATGGAATTATTTTAAATGCATAACTTTGTCTAAAGTAAAGCGGAAGACGTGGAATAAACTCAAGTATGACTCAGGCAGAGACAAAAATAGTGTCAGGCAGGCTCTGGCACATAAAGAGCAAATAAGGGGGGGGTGTAGATAAATACCTCCCAAATTTTTTAAAGCTGAAGTCAAAGTCAGTTTACTTAAGTTAGTTGAGACAAGAATGTTTTTAAACAGCTCTGTATGTGTCCTGGCACATGACAAAAACGAATTAGTTAAAAATACAAGAATTCTCTAGTGAAGAAAGAGGACACAGCAGTAGATCCAATTAATTTAAGACTGGGAAAAAGTGTAATTTCATTTAAGAAAGAATAAGTTACAGTAATAATACAAATACTTGTATTAGTTACTGAAACCCATTCACTTTTCTCACTGTTAATGTAAACAAAGAATGCAGAAGATAAAAGCTTGGGGGGGGAGGGGCAGGCCTGCATTTATCTTAATTATTTCACCCAAAAAGTTGTTCTGTGCAGAACTCCTATTTTTACTAGCAAAACATCTGTTTATGGGAAGTTAAAAGGTCATTGATTGACTGAACCTAGATTACACCACACACCCCCTCCCCCGCCAAAGTGATTCCACGTTTAGGATTTACTTCTACAGAGGACAAGTTCACCTTTAGAAAACTTGACTCTGGTGTACAAATGCAGTAGCAGGCCACTGCTGTTCTTCCATAATAAGACCAATTCAGATGCAATTTACTTATATGAGACTGTTTTTGAACACATTACTGTGTGCAAAAGTGAATAGTTTATCCACTGAATCTTTTCTAAAGATATACTTAAAAATCACATTAAACAGAATACAATTCTAAACATTTATCTGATGCTATGAAGTTAATATAATGGTTCATTATTCTTTTGATTTCACAAATTTTACAACATTTCAAGTAAAATCTTTAACAGGCATACAAGACTATTGCAAACAATTAACATTTTACTTAGCCAGAGAAAATAATACACCTGTGGTGTTTTGAAAATAAGGTGAAAGCTTGACAGGCATTCCTTCTCTGAAAATAGCAGCAACAGTAATATTGCCTTGTGGAGCAGAACAGGTTCCACACAAAATTAAGTCTCATTTTGGTATTTGTGGGGAATTCAGTCATAGGACTACATAGGACAAACCAAGCACTTAGGAAATATGTCAAGCTACACACAGTGTGGAAACGCAAGTACATCAGAAGTGTCCAGCATCATATGCTAAAAAGACAGCTTATGTATTTACACAAATCACACTGCATTCATTCACTATTTTTGACAAGGCAATACAAGCAACTGAGTGACAGATTGCTGATGTTTATGTAGAGACCAAAGTTTTCAAAGACAGGCTCCCACTCCCAACAGCATGTTTATAGTCTATTAAATAAACATTTACTGCTATGTAAGCAGTACAGTATGACTTCCAGGTTCAGACCATACAGCTAAAATAATCGCAAATAATTTTAAAAGTTAATCATTATCCCCTCTGGGAGCAGGAAAATCAAGGAGAATATGAAAAAAGGTCTTAAAAATACTTTAATGGGTAGCAATATGTAAGCATTATTAGATTCTACCTGCTTCCTTTGTAATTACCACCTGGCTACTCATTGTTCCGTATTAACAGGCCTTGCCTGTTTCTGTACTCCTGTGTACTGAATTTACCAAATCAGTTCCAGATAACAAACATGCTACCAGCTCTCAACTCTGAAAAACAATCACTCCCTCATCTGAAAGCCAAGACTTGTCTCTGCAAACACACTGGAGAATTTGTTTTTGGTTTTTTTATCTCTAGATATGTCATTCCTCCCTAACAATTAGAACACTTGGTACTTTTCCAAGTAGCTGCTGTTCTTTTTCACCATTGAGAGGATCCTTTGTACTCTGCTCTGTATTTCAATGCCTGCAAAAGCATTTCAGTTCAGCTTCACATCTGTGGTTCATTCAGCTACTCTTGCTTCTGTAATACCACAAATAAAATAACCCATGAATAGTCTTTGCACAGAGTAATTCAGAACGTATAGATTTGTACCCTGGTGGATATTTTCATTTTCAGTGTTCTGGAGATTGAGGGTGGGAAGGAGTGGGTGTTATTTTTCAGGGCAGGAAGGGGACAAATTTCTGAAGTAATGCACCATGTTTCAAAAAGGCTGATACCAAGTCAGCCACTTTTCTCCACATGCCTTCTGACAATCACATTTAATTTATGTATGCAGGATATTAACGCAAAAAAAAAAAAAAAAACCCCACACCCAAACAACAAAACCAAGAGTGAATCTCATGAGTTTAAGTCAAACAAGAACCTCCATACACACAGTTAAAAAGATAAAATTTATGCCTATCATTTAGTTTGTGCACTGAGGGCAATATGTTGCTACTTCTTCATATCCTGACTACTGTTATCAGTGCACCAGATTTTGACAGCTCATATTAGGACAAAGCTGTCAGCTAAGTACTATGAAGCTGCAAACTCAAGCAGTTTTTAAGGTTGTTTTGTTTTTAAACAGGCCTTTAATCTGGAACAGCCTGTAGTAAAGTCATTCATATATAGGCACATTAAAGAACAGCAAGAATTAAAATAGACTTTGGCCCAACTTAAGGTCACCTTCTTTCTATTTATGAAAACATTTGTATACTTTCACAAATCTCCATTTTCCTTTTCTCACTGCACCAACTACTTCCATTAACAAGGGCATCCAGAGCAATTGTAAGTTCCTGAAGAATCAGCTGTATTTTAAGCAAGGCAAAAGGTAAAGAATAATCTTTGAAAATTACTGGGATACCTGCTTCTTGGGGGAAAGCTAACTGAAAATAACTTGCAGGAGGTGACCTCTCCTCCATGACGGATTTAAGACACTTCCTCATAACATGGGATGTAAAAATCTACTTAAGCTAGCCTCTATTTGGTTAGTTAAGCACATCAGCCACTGTCTTTTACATTGATGATCTTTGCCAGAAACACTGGAAGCATTCAGTTTAATAAAGATCAAATCCACTGTAAATGGCTCTAAAAATGTACTTCCCTTAGACATGCCAGCTGGTTCCCGCCCCACAAAAGAGATAATCCGCACATGTGAGTAAACGCTGCAGAGAAACGCAGTTACATAATCTCTCGCAGATATGGTTCATTAAAAGGGACAGGGCAAAAGGAAGGGAGGAAGCGGCTGACACGGGGCGGGGGGGGAAATCGCCTCAAGTCTGTCTGCTTTCAGTTCGGCAATTCAAATCCGGAAAACCGCCAGAACGACCCGCGTGGCTGAGCCACGCCGCCCGCTCAGCCCACGACCCCCAAAACCCAGCAGCCGGCACCACGCCTTCCCCAACTCCCAATCGCACCAGGGTGCGACCGGCCGCCGGGCGGGCAGCGGGGGCCGCCAGAAGCTGGACTGAGAGCGGGCACCGCGCGTACCTGCAGAGGCGGAACCGGGCCATCGCTGGCAGCGGTTCGCCGACACCGTTTGGGACAGACGTAGAGACGGAGATTCCCTGCCCTCGCTAAGCGGCAGGGTCTCCCCCCCGCCCATGCCCGTGCCCGTGCCGCCGCAGCCTCCACATGCCGCCAGGCCTCGGGCCTCTTCTCAAGTCTTCTTCCTCCCCAGCCCGGGCCAAGCGTACTGGCGCCCCTGGTCTGCGGAGTCCTGCCGCTCCCCCCGGGACTCCCCCCCGCCTCTCCCACACAACGCGGGGCTGAGGGCACCCTCCGCGGCAGCGAGCTCGGCGGAGCCCTCGCTGCCGCACCCGCCTCAGCCCGCCACTCCCTCAGACCACGGCGCGGACTCAACGGCTGCCCGCGCGCCAGCCGGCACCGGGCTCGACGCCACCGCTCTTTCTCACCCTGCTCGCACCGCCACCTCC